ACTGCTACTTCTGCTACTGCCTCAGATCCTGCTCCTGTGCTCCTGCTACTACTTCTACCACTGCTGCTACCACTGATACTGCTACTTGCTGCTGTTGCGGCTACTGCCACTACGCGAAATACTACTGCTGCTATTGCTTCTGCTGTTTGTACTGCTGCTTCTACCGCTACCGCTGCGGGACTAGAAAAAGGTAGAAACACTCGCCTGCAGCTCGTGTTTCCACAGTAACTCGCGTTCGCCCAACGAAACACAAGCAATGTTTTCTATTTAACTACTGAATTAGCTTATGAGTTCGAAATATCTCGTATAATCGAGCCATAATCTAATTCTTTAAGTATAAATTCTCTTGTCAGTCATAAAGTTATATAAAACCTCTGCACTGACACTTGGAAAACGTGAAGAAGCGGTCGCCATTTTGTTAACAACCGCAAACGACTAGGCTACTTTTTATCTACATAATAAATAGTTGATAGCGTAGCCAACAAGAGAATGGTATATCGCTGGTGTTAGTAGATAGATTTTTACTAATTCTTAATTGTACCTTTTCAAAGGGAAAAAGGATATATTTCTTGATCCAATTTTATAAATCTATAACTCATACAAAGTTCCATACAAACTCTCACAGTACTCTCTGGATACCTANGTTCTTGATCCAATTTTAAATCTATAACTCATACAAAGTTCCATACAAACTCTCACAGTACTCTCTGGATACCTATTTAGTGTATTTGCTTGGTTTAGTCGGTCCCACAGTATCGGAGATTACATGTAGGAGTAGGCAACAACATGTAGACGAAGTAGGAACTACAATTTTTTATGTGAATGAATATATATTCGGCGCAACAATTAGTCTTATCATAAATCTCAAAACAGACTTTCATGCCTTTTTCTGTTACGCCTTCTGGTGGCAAGGGTTTGTATTTAACATTCAACATCCAGGATATCGAATGTGACATCTAAAGGTTGCTGGACACTTTGGGTTGGTAATCTTGTTCCTGCAGCTCCTTGAAAACGATACCAGTTGCCATTGCTGGACAGCGATTGATAACTGTCACATAATGGATTATCCGGAGATTCTTCGTTGTTAATATTTCTATCAGAACTGTTTAGAGTTTCGTATTGATGGCATGGATCAACTAAAGGGAAAAACAAACACCAAAATTGAGAAAAGAGAGTGAGTTAAATTACTCTGTGCATAAACTATGAATTTCATTTCATCATCGCACGTACAGTTTGTTTCTTATTTAATTTTGATGGTATAAAAGAATTGGTTCATAGCGGAGCTTCAGCTCGCGAAGCGCATCAGAAGAACACCGTGGGTAGAGAGTTTTACTAAACTATCAGGGCAAGAAAATTTGGTTATAACGTCCCCGTAAGAGCAAGCGAGCGACCATCCGCGTACAGACACTGCGGGAGAAAATCACATGGATTAACTAGAAAAATCAAACGTGTCTGGTATGTGTAGAGACTTTAGGAAACGGTAAAAATGGTAAAATGTGGTTGATTCATTGATCAATCAAAAACATTAGTTCATTTCACTCTTCGCAAATTTTGCTTGGCGTTTCTTCCCGGAAGATTCACACTGAAGCGAATTGCCAAATTGCGGTAAGCGACTCTTTGTTGTAGAAACCTTCGTCGCGTTTTCTATAAAAACTGTGACGTTGCTTCGATCGACGAGATATGTTCAATAGGATTTGTAAATTCTTCCTGATTTGATCATGAAACCATGCTGTGAGACACTTAATAAATTTATTTTTTGTTTTGATTCCGCTTATTCCTAAATAATGACACTTGAGTTGCATGCTTTGTTGTAAGTTCAGTTGTTTAAGGTGCATATTGTAAGCAAATAGTTTTCTCTCGGTTTTCACCGATACAAAACTCATGTCCAAAAATAATAAAACTGTATTTGTAAATACTGTCAGGCGAGTTTTGCTAGTTGCGAACGTAACAGGATTTG